AGCTTCCAAGACCAGGTTTTCGTATAAGACTGAGTAGTCCCCGCCTCGCGATCGGAACTAAGGGAGCATGGATGTCTTCGGGAAGAATAAGACACGGGGAAGTTAGAGGCTCCTTCACCGTGAGTCCGAGGAGCAAGCTCATAATTTCCGTATGTGCTCATGCATCGTCGGAAACCACTCGTGTTTCATGCTAGAATTTCTCGAAGCATAGGTAATCGGGGGGGCCCTCTGACAGCTAGTATCAGTCGTCCGGAAGCTCGTAGCGGGACTTCCCTTCTGCTCTCCTCCGTTCACGTTAGTTCATATCTTGATATGTGCCACGGACCCCGACGAGCTTCTTCACATCTTACTGTCCCTGGTTGAGGTTCGTGCAGAGGGAGGCGAGGAGGAGGAGGAGGAGGTGGTGGTGGAGGAGGAGGAGGAGGTGGTGGAGGAGGAGGAGGGAAGGGGAGGAGGGAAGGGGAGGAGGAGGAGGAGGAGGAGGAGTGATAATGATACAGGGAATGTCCTCCCTCTTGCTCCGCCTTCCCGTGCTCGCTGTGAGATCGATCGAAGAAATTTCTCTGCCGATGCTGCAGGAGAAGGTGACGGAGTTTGAGAAGCGCCGGGATGAGGTGAGCGGAAGAGTTCCTGTCTACCGCGTGGAGCGGAGGAGGATCATGATGGGAGAGTTTGGATGAAGGAGGGAGGAAGAGAGAGGAGGGTAGGAGGAGATGGGAGGAGAGGTGTGAAGAGTGGTCATGGAGGGACGGAAGGGGAGGGGAAAGCACTTGAGAGGAGGGAGGGAGGGAGAGGGAGGGAGGGACGAGAAATTAACACGTCACATGCAGATCCTTGACATGGAGGGAGTGCTAACGACGAGGTTCTGGCAAGGCTACGTGAGAGAAGTGATAAGGAATGTGACGAGATGAAGTTGTGTGAATGAAAGTCAGATCATTTCAAATTCCCTCTCCCTCTCCCTCTCCCTCTCCCTCTCCCTCTCCCTCTCCTCCTCCTCCTCCTCCTTCATCATCTCCTTCACTTCTCGTGGGTCCGGCTTGAAGACGTTCTTGGATGCTCTGATCGCAGCCCTGCTGGTCGCTCCGCTCCATCCTCTCTTGCGCGACAACTGCAGGAGCATGTTCAGCGTCTCACCAAAGGCAGCAGAGCAGAACAACATCGTTGCTCGCTTGCATCGCTCTGAACGTCTTCTGCACATCCTTCTCGTGCTTGTCCTCTACGTGGTCGAAGAGCCCATTCTTCTCCAGGTCTGCTTCCCACTCGTCGAACTTCCGCAGGTAGAACCCTTCCGGCGTGTCCTCCTGAGAAGAATCTCACGCGACGCTCGGAGGAGAAGGATGTGGACGTGGACGTGGAGGAGGATGGTGGAAGGGGGAGGAGGATGGAGGAAGAGGATGGGGAAGGGGGAAAGGGTGGTGGAGGAGGAGCAGGAGCAGGAGGCGGAGGCGGAGGCGGAGGCGAAGGAGGAGGAGGAGGAGAAGGAGGAGGAGGAGGAGGAGGAGGCACAGGCAACCTCTTGCACTTGCAATCGATAATTTCTCCTTGCAATGTCCAATGCCGTGTAAAAAAGCGAGTTGAATGCATTGACGTCAGCACCATACTTGATCAGCTTCTTGACTACTTCCGCTTTCCTGTGAAACATGTCAAGCCCAGAAGTCGCCCCTTATCCTCCTCCTCCCCCTCCCCCCCTCAAACCCAACCCTTCCTCCTCCTCTTCCTCCTGCTTCATTCATAATCTCCTCCAAATTCTCGTCTCCCTCTCGCCCATATCTCCTGCTTCCCCTCTGCCCTCGTCCTCGTCCTCGTCCTCGTCCTCGTCCTCGTCCTCGTCCTCCTTGTTCATCATCACCCGAAGAACGCAGCAACCATCAGCGGCGTATCCCCGTTGAGGTTCTTTGCCTCGATGTCTCCTTTCGTCTTCACCAGCATCGCCAGCACTTCCACCTCCCCTCTCGCCGCGCAGCAGTGAAGTGCTGTGTTGCCTTCCCTGTCCTTGTGATTCACTTCCGCTCCCAGCGAGACCAAGACAGAGGCTGCATCCCCGTCAGCCCCCCAGCAACAGCCCAGCTGCCTTACCGATCTCCACGGAGCCGCTGTTAGCGGCGTAATGCAAGGCCGTTTCCCCTTGAC